AGCTATTATGTCTTGCCACCAAGTTTCTATAAGATTTATGGAGAATAATATTGCTAATGGAATGCTAGAAATCAGTTGTGTAAATAAACCTTATGAAGTGCTACACAAATACTCATTACTGTCAGATGATAGTTGCATTTTGCAGGAAAAAAAATGGCAATCCTTCCTTGAGGAAGTATTTAGTAACACAAATATCCAAGTACTTGATCATATCAGACAATCTACACAGAATATGAGGCATTTTAAAAAGAAGTTCCTGTAGGGTGGAAGAAATTATACCCCAATGGCATTTTTCTTTTGGAAAGGATTGCAGGGGACTCGACCTGTTTTTAATGGATATAGCTGAAGAGTGTAAAGCTGTGAGAGATATTTTTTATTTCTTTTCACTTCAGGAAACCAGAATGTATTTGGAAGATGTCATTTTGATTTGGATGTAGGACATCCGCCACCATTGCCAGCAGCACCATACCAAGCATCTTATCTAGTATTCTCTTTATCTCTTGTATTTTTATAGTCGGCAATCACATCTCAAAATATTCTTACAGGAAAAGAAAAGGCCTATAGCCATCTTGTCTTCTTCTGAATATGGGCGGCATATAAACAAACCAGTGGAACAGCTAATCCGAGACTACGTGCGCATTAATCACGTAAAGACAGAGTTCTACAGAAAAAATGGAATAGCCTGCTTGATAGAAAAATGAATCCAGCTTAAGAATCTACTGTTGATAGATAACTAACAGCAAGATGGTATCAAATTCCTGTAGTGTCCTGCTTGGATTTACAGTGCAAATGTAACATTACAATATCTTTCTATATATTTATTGCTGGGGTTTTAGCTAAAACCAGGTTTAGGTCCTTAAAGGCATAGTGATACTTGTGTGACCTCCAGTTTATACTTGTACTCGCCTCTCCATTTTTTCTCCTGGAAAAATTGTGCAAAGATTTCACCAGAAAAGAGGCTTGACACTCTTAACACACTGAAGTAGCCATGTATTAATCTGAAAACAATCACCTCTGTCATTTCTTGTTTGTTTATGATTTATAGTTTGTTTTTTTAATTGTATCAAAACTAAAGGACTTAGTTAGCATGTATTGTAGCTTAACATACTTTTCCTTCCAATTTCATATCTTCGTTAATTTAATGTTTTATAAGCGTGTTTGGAATGCTTAACCAAGGAAGTCACCATTAAAGGAAAAAATATTGAGAAAAATATATATCAACCTGCTTATACACCAAGGATGCACATGTGAGTATTTATATATGAGTTGTGCATGAGGAATGAAGATCAGCTGATAGATGGGCAGCTTCATAATAATAAATTTTCAATGCTGAATACAAACATTAAAGCTTGACATTAATTTCACCTCGTGAAGTTGAATAGTTTTGATTACTGTTTGTAGTGGAATTTTTGTCAAAGCTACTAGATACTAAGACTACCCATAGTATGAGTTTATGTAAGCCACATTTAATCTGCATCTCCTATCAGCCCAGAAAGGAAGCTTCTTCACAGAACAGCATATAGGAGAAGGGGGACGTGCCAATTTTAATCAGGAGAATAGAGAAGGAAAAATAAATGTAAAGTCACTGGCCCCTATAAAAATCTTTCTCGTGGTAGAATCTTCTTGTTTTTACTTAGTGGTAAGCTGCCTAGAGACATCTTTTGGTGAAATGGGCATCATATAACTTTACTAAATAACAACACTTAACAATATACAATGTATTCAACATATACACATACATACATACCAATATACATTCCATACAAATATGCATATATGCATATATTCCATACATACCTAAAACGTAAGTGCACTCAAATTATATGTTTACTGTCACATTAAGTCTGGCTCCTTATACATGCATCCTCAGCCTTTAAAAACTAAACAGGAAAAAAACCTAAAACCATTAAGAACTAAACATTCCAATATTTTCCAGGACATGCTATATAGTACCAGGAGAAAATGCAACTATTTCTCAGGTTAACATGATATTAAGTCAATCACATCAGAAAAAAAATAAACTTGGGTGCATTTGTACTTTCTCTCCATGTAACACTGGGAGACAAAACTATATAATAGGATAAAACACTGGATTTATTTAAATCTCAATTTCTCAAACACAAAATGAAGAATAGCCTTCATATACATTTATTTGGATTCGGCTTTATTTTCATGGAAGCTATAAAAGTTAGGAAATACTTTCTTATGTAGGTATTCCTGCACATCGTTTTTGTTGTCCAATGGATTAAACTCAAAAAATGGGATCTGAAATGTAAAGAAATGCAGGAAACATTATTCAAATAATTCTGCAGAGATTAAAACATTAGAACAATTTTATCCTGTTTTCTTTTTTAAAATAAAGACATGAGCAGCCTTATCACAAAAGGTCATTTAATCCCTTTTCATTTACTTTCCCCACCTGATAAATAAAGGCCTTGTTCCTGCCCTGTTCCAATATTCTTGACAGTCCTGTCACCTATGCTTTGATGCAAGAATGGCTCCAGGCATATGGCACAACAGGAATCCAATGGCAACGGGTCCTTGGGGGACTACAACTGGGGATTTTAGTCTTGAATAATGGCTGTCTTCTAATAAAACTGAAATGCTAAGTGCTACAACAAAATCCAATTATACCCACTGGGGAGAGTTCATCTAAGGGTTATGAACATAGTTTAAAGTGAAACATTCAATTTAAAATGAAGACAATCCCAAAGGCAGTCTCAAAGTGGGAAAAAGAAAGATTCCTGTCTGAAAATTGTAAGAGTTATTTTTGGTCTAGTACTGAACTAGACATTCCAGTGATTCAATTCAATATAATGGCAATAATGTATGTACTGGTATTAAGAACTGGATAGTGAAATATTGCTTTGAGACATACACTTTTTATTTAATTTGTATACTGCCTTTATTATTTTTACAAATAGATGATGAACATATCCAACACACTTTTACTCCTCCTATTTTCCCCACAACAATTCTGTGAGGTGAATTGGGCCGAGAGAGTGACTGGCTCAAGTCACCAGACTGGCTTTCACAGCTAAGCCAGGATTTGAACTCACACTCTCCTGCTTCCTAGCCTCATGCTCTTAGTTCATTCTTTAGCTATGAGACCAAGAACAAAATAGTCTGGATCAACCCTCAGAAGTAATCATTTCTATGAACAAAGCACCAATATGGATCTCCAAATATAGTTAAATATTTGAAGAAGGGTGTTCCTATCTCTTGAAATATGTAGCAATATTATTGAATTTACCTGTACAACCACATAACCAATGAGCTTCAGGTGTCTTTGCTTAATGGATTCTTTTCCAAGAAGATTGTGACTATTAGCACAAAATCTTTTTTCATCATCAATGCAGAGAGCTATTCTGTAAAATCAAAACATTGCCAGTGCTTCAAATTCAAAATGTCAGTGCAGGCTTTTTTAAGTCAGAGCCCTTCAAAAGGGTTAGATTACAACTCATTACTGACCAGCACAAAAAATAATGTTGGATATACTGCAACACATCTGAAGGGAAACATGTTGGGAAAAGCTGACCATTCCTACTTTTTTTTTTAAAGCGAATGCCATCACAATATGAACAATAGTTCATTATAGGCTAGTTTTGCCTGTTTTAGGTAAAACATTTTTGCTTTTTTTTTTAGGTAAAACCATTGTAAAACATGCCTACTGCAATGACTACAGGATGCCACAAACAGCTGCAAATGCAGCGTGGCTGGCAAGTACCCGAAGTGTGGTCACATGACTGCAGGGAGCAAGGGCATCAGAACTTTGAATCTGGTTTGTAAGTACCCACAGGGAGATCTGTTGTAACTTCAATTGGTTGCTAACTGACTGGTCTTAAGTCGAGGACTACCTGCAGTCTTCTGGAACAGATAGTCTTCCTAGTTGATATTTCAGTTCAGTACAGTTCTGGTGTGCAACCACAATGAAGCATAACCAAGTAACTCATTCAGACAGTTTGCAGGAGGCGAGTCGGAAAGCCTCTGCGCCTGTGCAAAGTGTGCATTTGGTGCACCCAAAGCACGCCCACCAAGCCACGCCCATCGAACCAGTGGTAAACTATTTTGAAACCCACCACTGATAAATATATATGACAAAAGTTGGTCAACCTCTTTCACCCTGACACACACTTGAGAGAATTGTAAAACAAGCAGTTCCAAGCAGAGTCAAGTTAGCATTAGGGGCATAAACAGGAGCCTAGACGGATGGACAAAAAGATTGTGGGTTTTCATTGGCTTATGGCTATTGTGAGAATTAAAAGTAGTTTGCTGCGCAAAGGAAATCCATGGACTTTTTGGGACCAGAATCATCTGCCATAACAGTAAGGTGTGAACAGGGATTCCTTCCTTCTGAAGGTAGCATGATGGATTTGCATGCTGCCACCTTCTTTAGGAAACAGCTCTAGGGAACTGCAACAGTATGGAAAGGAAGGGGCAAAAACATAGCAAAAACACTAGCTTGACTTGAACATTGAAAAATGTGTGGTGAGTTCTCAGGTGTTGAGTTAAAACTAAAAAGACTTGGAACTCTTAAACCACAATATTGCTGATATTCTACCAATGTTAGCACATGTATAATGCTTTGCTTCTTCTATCACAATCAGAATCAACCACATAGGAAAAAGTAGAATAAACTTTTCAAACAGAAATATAAACCAAATGCTAGAAATAATGTTTTACTTTTTCATGAGAAAATAAAACTGAAAAGTTTCTTCAGGTTGTGAACTCACTTTGGAAAATAACCAACCAACCATCCAGTTTTCCTTACCTTTCATATACCTCATCGTATGCGTTGACGGGTAGTACAAATCCTTCTTCATTGAGCTTAATCTCAATATCTTGTACAGAGAAACAGAAAGAAAATAACATTCCTCGCAACTATCTTTTTGCTGAATTTCATTACTTTTCATAATTGAATAAACTTATTTTTAATCAAAATTTTAATCAAACAAGGAAATGGGCAGCCTTACTATTTGTTAAATACATTTAACTTGGCTAGAAACAAACATAGCTGTGCTCGAATAAAATCTTAAGAATTCTAAGAAAATACTCAAGTTCCATGCAGTTGAAAGTGGCTTAAAAAGTAGGAGGTAGAAGGCTTCAAAGAAATTGTCTAGGGCCCTTGCACCAATGGAAGATGTATTGTTTCACTTTTTATCCCCACCATTATGTCCCCACATCCAAACCAATTGACTGCATGGAGAGTCAATCACTCTTGCTGGAGTTCTGAAGGTATAGTTTACAGAGTTCACACTGAATGAACATGAGCTTCTAGGAATATAGTTTCCAGAACTTCAGTGCTATGTATGAATATTCGATACAAATACTCTGAAGAACAAATTCCAACAATAGAGATAAGACATCATGAGAGAAATAACACCAGCGGAAACTATTGCCTAAGTCCAAAGCAAATCCCTGCAGTCATCGAAAGGCCTTAGCAGAACTCAGAGATTTCCAAAAGTTAATACAAAGCTATATTTTTTAACGTGATGCAAAGGGAAAATAATCAAATATATTGCTGAAGATTAACCTCATCTCACCCATTACTCCTTGGAATATGGCCATTCAACCCACTCAATCCTGGAAAAAAAAACTGCACCCATCTAAACTAAACACAGCTATTTGAAAAGTACAGACAGTTTGCTCACCTATAGTGTAGTGATATGGTGTCAGAACATTATAGACAAAATATTTTTGGCTCCCTAAGAGGTCAATCATGCCAGCCTTCACTCTGTTGAAAAGATGAAGATCAACCTTGGATTCTAATGACTCACATCTAGTGTAAAAGGACTTGACTTGGTAGTCTAGGGGGAGCCTGAGCCTCTGCAAAGACAAAAGATTAGAATTTTAATCAATTTTATGCCAAGTTGCTTCCTGCTGATTAACAAAACAAATATGAGTAAATATGAGTAAACATTAACAAGGTACATAATGCTGGAATAATAATGACGAATAAGGCGGAGAAGACACAGCAGAGAAACCACCACATTGGAAAACCTATAAAGTAGTATTAACAGACTCTTATTTTTCTCTCCA